TTTTTTTTTTTTTTTTTTTTTTTTCCTAAAGAATAAAATTGAATGAAAAAAGAATTTGGCGTGTCATTTTGTTTGTTTTTTTGCCTTTTGTTTTTCGTTTTGTTTCCGAAAAAAAAAAAAGACTTTCCGTTTTTTTTCCCCCCATGAAATTGCATTTTTTTTCTGTCTTTTATTTTCTTTTTTTTTTTTGCTGTATCTTTTTTTTTCCGTCGGTCCGAAAAAAAAAAAACAAAAGACAAAAAAGACAATTTTATTTCGCAATTGTTTTGGGTCGGAACGAACTTTCCGCTAGAACCCGGTCAGATGCAGGCACACCAGTGTTTGGCACTCGGTCCGCGGTGCGGGCGGTCCGTGGGCATCGCCACCGCACTGTCGAAATCCAAACGTGGCGCTCTTGTGTTCGGCGCTCGCCACACCAAACATGGCGGGCACATCTGGCCATGTTCTAGCGGGAAGTTCATTCTCATCTGGCTGTCTGTCTGTCGCTCTCTCTCTCATCCCCACACCACAGACTCTTGCTCTCTCTCTCTCTCTCTCACACAGAGACACACACACACACAAACACACAGATGGGACAAAATTTGCTTGTCTATCTGTGTGTGTGCGTGTGTGTCAGAGAGAGAGAGCGAGCAAGAGATTGTGTGTGTGTGTGCGTGCGTGGGTGTGACAGAGAGTGTGCGGGCAAGAGTCTGTGTGTGTGCACGTGGGTGTGTGGCAGAGGAAGAGTGCGGTCATGACTCTGCCATCGCCAGTGGCACGAGCTGAGACAAGGGTGTGCCGTGTAGCTATGGCGCGCATGTCTTGGAAAAAAAAAAAAAGCGGAAAAAAAGGAAAAAACAAAGGATAAAAAAGGAGGAAGCTTGCCCGTGTCTCTCTCTCCCTCGCTTCCTCCTCTTTTTTCGTCTTTTTCCCTCTCTCTCTCTCTCTCTCTCTCCCTCTCTCTCTCTCTCTCTATATATATATATATATTTATATATATATCCATCACTCGCGCGCCTCCTAGGTCCGTTACTCCCTCTCGACGCCATTTATACTGTGCACGAGGGGGGAGGTTTCATGTTGAGGCGCTTGAGCTTGAGCAACTTCAGCACGCAGACGGGAGAGAGAGAGAGAGATCATATCCAAGAGAGAGAGCAACATGAGCGTGCAGACGAGAGAGAGAGAGAGAGAGAGAGAGAGAGAGAGAGAGAGAGAGAGAGAGAGAGAGAGAGAGACAGAGAGAGACCATCTCTCGTACCTGCATCGAGGCGCTACCTCGGCGCGCATCGAAAGAAGAGGACGATATGGCTTTTGCTGGTACTATGTGACACCCACGGCCTAGGCTGCGGGCATTTCGGCCGCTGCGGCCGAAAAAGTCGGCCGCGACCGCAGCCTTTCTTTTTAATAATTTGTTTTTATTTCTAAACATATGCAAAAAAAAAAAGAAAAACAATAGGGGTGTAAGGCTTGGAAAACCCTACAATCCTATGTTTTTTATTTTGGAATCCGACTTCGTTTGAGATTTAAAAAAATATATATATATATCGATTTGAACAAAATATTAAACAAGAAAAAAAAAAAAAGGAATTTTTTTTTTGTCATTTTTTATTATGAGGGATATGATCCCTAAGTTGTGCTGTATTTTTTTTGGAAATGAATTTAGTTTTTTTGCAGGTAAATTAGGTGTTAAAAAAAATTGAAGATGCAAAACTTGAAAACAAATAAACAAAAAAAGGTTGGATTGATTGATTGATTGATTGATTGATTGATTGTGTGTGTGTGTGTGTGTGCTGTGTAACCGGCTGAACGCACATTCACGTTCAATCGCGCGCGTTCATACCCCCCGGGGCCGCGTTCAATCGCGTTCAAATGCGCTGCGCGCCACGTTGCGCGAAAAGATTGAATGCGACCTCGGGGGGCGCGCGCGCGCGTTGCGAACTACGGGGTGGTGGGCCTCGTTCAACGAACCCCGAAAGTGCAAC